TTTGGTATTTTGGTGCTTTTGGTATTTTTGATGTGTTGTTGAGCTCAGCTTTCAGGGTTCTCATGCCCACCACTATAGTGCATTACATGTATTTAGCTACAAGGAGATATGAAGGTATTATTGGTGGAAGTCTGTAATATTGTTTTATTAGTCCTTGGATCACATAGTTTCTCGGCATGTGTGAGAAATGTTACCATTTAGAAGACTGCTAAAGAAAACGTTATAATAAAACAACATCTTTTTTTTTCTTTTCTTTTCTTTTTTTAAATAAACTACAAGTTGTAAGAATAGTTAACCGGCTCCCAGCAACTTGAACAAACCTAATGTATTTTCTTTCCCATTTGGGTTTCCAAAAATATTTTGCACTGTTGAGCTGCTTCAGTCATATTCCCATGACTGTACACCAACAACAGGCACTCACACATACAAACACACACACAGCAAGTGAGAAAAAAAGTGACATAAAGCAGGGGTCTGGGGCTAAGTAAGCAGTACACCAGGTTATGCGTCATTTACCGCGGCTCAATAACAACCTTTCTCTCTGCCCGACACACCTGGTCACACAAAATGACACATGCTGTCCTTTGAGAATGCTCACAGACACACACACTAAGCATATCTTTTTTCACCCCATGGCGGCCTTAACCAGACACATTACATCCCCACTCAACTATCTGCTCGTGACAGATGTATTTATGTAATGGTTTTGATAGGTATTGATCCACACGGCGGAGCCAGTTAAGAAAGAGAGAAAAATGAGATTTTAAAATCAACATGGCTGAGGGGGGTGTTTGGTGGAGATGATAGCTAAACAAGAAGATGAGTGACATGAGTGAGAGAGAAAAAAATCATGTCAAAAGTAAAGCGAGGAAAGTCGTGCCAGCGAAACCTTCAGAGGAAGACGCTCAGGTGGAAAGCGCTCGCGAATTTGATTCACAAAAAGAAAGATCTAAGAAACATGCACAGTGTCTCTGCAAGTGTGTGTGTGTGTTTGCAATGGCATGATCGTGTGTGTGTGTGTGTGTGTGTGTGTGTGTGACCTTGGCTTGGCCCGGTGGTAAAGTGGGGCGTCAAGAGAGTCAGTGTGTGAGCAGTCAAGCGTTCTCCCTCAGATTAGCAGGCTTTATTACTGCCACCAACCACTGGCCTGACAAATCCTCTTATTTCATTTTACCTTCCTCTACCTCTGCCTTGTTCTTTTCCTCTCACTCTTTTATTTCACCTAAAACCTCCTCCCTCTCTTTCCTTCCAGCCCTGCATACGCTAGCTTTGCATGCTTCACCTTGCACCTCTCCTGGCTCCCTCGCAAGTTTTCCCTCACAGCATAACAGCCCTATTTTCTATTTCCTCCCTCTTTTCTCCTCATTGTCTTTCCGTCTTCCGCACGGCTCTGCTGAAAGCTACACATTTCTTTTTCTACCTTTCTCCACTCCACCTCTTGCTCTGCTCCTCCCTCTATCTCCTTCCCACTCCCTGGCTCTCTATAGTGTGATGAATCTGTAGACAGGGGCTAATAATTGTACTTCAGCCCAAGTGCTCATTTTTCTTTGTGTTTGAAAGCTGTGACAGGCAGGAGCTCCTTTTTTTTTTTTCCCCTCCACCCCCCTGTCCCTTGTCTCCCCCTTTCTCTTTCCCTTTTCTTCCTATCCTCACACAATGGGTGAGTAAAATAACTCAGGGTTTACAAGGTCATGCTGTCTAGCGGTGAGGACTCGCTGGGGATTTGGGAGTGGAAGGATTTCCTCAAAGGTGCCGTGTTGAGACTTCAATAAAAAACAGAAAGTTATAGATTGCACGAGCAGATCTACAGGGGGAAATAAGTGCATTTGATAGTGAACAAGCTCAGTAAACTTGGATTCAAATGTTACCATGACTATGAGTCTTCATGGAAGAATAAATGATAAACTGAAGCATTGCCATGAATTAAAAACATCTACTTTTGCATGCATGTTACACATATTTTTTTTAATCATTTAAAAGAGAACTCACCTTAAAATGCTCCACTTCCTGCCATATGTGGCAGCTGCATGATCTTTACAATGCATTCTTTTAATAATAATAATAATGTGCCCAAAAAATAAGTCTTTTTTACTGCTTTTTATTCATTACATCTCAGAAATCAATGGTACAGTAATGGCATGGAGAGACTGGGGGAAAAAATGTCTGTTTTTGTAATACTGCAACAGAATTAAAGTATTTCTTTAAGAATCTGCAAACAAGACATAAAAAACATTTTGACAGGCAAATTTTTATATTAAAGTGGGCTAATTAAGTGGAAAGGAGCCTGGGGAAATAATCTTTTAATTTTAAAATATATATAATTTAAGACTCTATCAAAAAAGCAGCCTGCAAGCAATCCAAATCGTGAGATATTGAAAGAAAATCATATTTCCATTGACTCTGCTGTGGTACTTTATGAAAACTGATCATCAGTTTTCATCCTAATGCCATCCTCAAAAGAGAGAGATTAAAAGAGAGCAGTGGGGAGGGAGGATAACACAGAGTAAGACTTTATTGCCTGCTGTAGTTAGATGGTAAATTTCCTCCTGGCAGATATTTATTGGGTTAGTTGAGTCTAGAGAGAGCTTTAACATTGATTGTGATCATTAAATATATCCGCTCGAAATGGCAACATGGCATTCCTTCGGTCGATGGAGCCAATAGGAGCAGAACAAAGGCATAATCAAATCAATCCTCTCATAATTATTCTTTGAGAGGTGAAATTAATCACAAGAAGAAATAAAAACAATAATGGAAAATGAAATGATCAGTCGTAAACAATTACTGCCCAAATTGAAATGAACTCAGTGAAGGGGGAAAAAACTCAACTGTAAATCCGACTAATTAAAATAACATTCTAATGTATATCGGTTATTTGCTTTACACGGGCTTTCAGTTATTACATTGTTGGGTGTCGTTATTCTAAGAATTGGAATAAAGAGAAAAAGAAATGAAGAGAAACAGACTGTGACTGTGTGTGCGTGCGTCTGTGTGTGTCGAGCCTTAACTGTTGGGTCAAAGGATCAAGGTCCTCCTCTTGCGAGAGTCGAGCTTCTCCTTCTTCTCTGCTCGCTGAGAGGAAGTGTAGCATATTGATTAGCTATCAGATGATTCCGATAGGGCCCGATCGATAAGACTTTGCATGAAAGCCAGGCAGGACCCTCCCACTTCACTCAGGAACACACCCACTGATCTGCCACTGCAGTGCACACCCGCATACAAGTCTAGTTGTTTGTAATTCTCCTGAAGATTCTCCTTTGAGTTCTGAATCTGGCCCTTCTGTCAAAGGCTTTCTTATCAGAATCAGAATCAGAATATTTTATTGATCTCTGGGGGAAATTATTTATATGCTCAGCTTACATAGAATTGCGACTGATAGACTAAGCCTGCACTTTTAGTCGAGAGCGGCGATATCTGTAGGCCACAAATGGTCTACGTTACATGATCGCACGTGTATAAAGTGCTTTAGCTGGTGTCAGACTGTGAGAATATAAAATTTGCAGCACTTCTGAGATTTATCAGTCAAACTGATGTGTTTCCAGCATACAGCCTTCATCATTAGCACCAGTTTCTTGATATATAGTCATAAACAGCATTATGGTTATTTTATTCTGAGTTTCTCCTCCAGCAGAGAGGTTGGGGAAAGCGGGCTAACATTACAGAAGTCCCAGGTGTAGAATTACACTCTTTAAGATCATTTCAGGAGGCTATAAGAGCCTACAATAACATAACTATTTGAACAAGTCAGAATCCCTTTGAATAAGATTATATTTCAGTAGTGGTGAAGTGTGAGAACAAGAAGTGAGACCTAATTTTTAGAGACCCAATAGAGCAAAAAAAAACCAAACAATTTTAATAAACCACATATGAAGTCAACAAAGACAAAACAACGGAACACATCAGGACAGACAAACTAAATCAAAATAAAACAGAGGGAAACTAAACAGCTGACGTGCTTAACACACTGGCGAGTACGTCTGCTCACGACTTGATCAGTCACACACTCGGGAAGGGAAAACGTCTCTCACAGAGACTCATGTCAGCACATACACAAAATGCTCTGTAACTGATTGGCAAGTAGGCGAATTCTCATGTTTGCCAAAGTATGACCATGAAAGGGCCTGAGCCTTATCAGCACCATGGACAGCAGCTGGGAACATCCTTTATTACTGTTCAACTCCTCGTCTGTGTATGACAGATTTCTGTATTTTTAGTTTTTTCAGACACAAACAATTTTTAAACACACGTTATTTATACCGTTTGTTCAATCTGATGCAAAATGAAGAGGCAAAAAGATTCTGGACAGTTTAATAAAATGTTGTTTTGCTTGCTGTAATGTACATGCGGGTTGCTGACTGTTCCTGCTCTGTGTGTGTGTGCATGTGAGTGTTTGTACTGCATCTCTGTTCCAGGTGTGTGCAGTGCTGTGAAAGGACAGCGATAAGACACCTGTACTCTGGGTACAGAACAGATTATAACAGCAGTATCAGTTTCTGTGCAGGGCACAGCATGTTTCTGAATGTTCTGTCTGTTCCTGTGCTTTTTTTTCCTTCTCTTCAGTATGTCTGCCAGGAAGGGAAGAAAAGAAACAATACGTGAACAATGTGTGAGAGTAAATTATATTAAGTATAACTGTGGTGCTGTGTCATTCTGATGATTCTCTACAGAAGGAAACACAATGAGGATTCATGTGTGAGGGTGCTGGTCAAACGTGCGATTGCGTCGATTGATCTGTTCTTTGAATACATGATGAGTGCATTTCCTGTTCTGTCAGAGGGGAAAAAATACTGTAAAAACAGCTTTTAACTCTGTGATGTTCATACCTGGTTAGTACACTCTGGAAAACTGTCGTACTTAGACTTGTTGCGTACTTCTCAGCTCCCCACACAAATATCCCCCCTAATGGTCTTCAGATGAATGGACTTCTATAGAAGGAATTCACATATTTCTGTACAACAGATTTTTATTGACTTGTTTCTCTTTGTGTGTGTTTTTTGCAGATATCATGACACTGGAATGCTGTTTCAAGACCAACCTACAGCATCCGGACTGCCATAAAGCACAATGTCTCAAAAGCGTCCCACCCCCTGTGGCTTCAGGGCAACCAATCCACAGCAAATCCAAAGCCGGAGTTCAATACTAAAGCGGATGATTTAAACAAAAAAAAAAAAAAAAGGGAGAACTGAAGAAATTAAAGATCCTGGACTCTGTAAATAAAATTCTCCACCTTCTGTATTTGTCATTCAAATGGACAAAGATTAACCCGTAAATATCTCCAAATTGTAACTTACCAGAGCATAGATTGTCAATACTTAGGTTGAGTAAAATAGCAGAAAAAAATATGATGTCCACCCCCCCTTTAGCACATGGCCAGAAATCAGGATTTTGTAAATACTGTACAGAAAACAAATAGGGACGTTGATAAGAAATATAAGTATTGCAAAATTGTGTACATAGCCATTAGAATCACACCTCTACTGTGTTTGTAATTCAATAAGTTTCACATGCCCATTACTATTTATTTCTTCTTGCCCAAAAAGATTTAGCACAACAATTAGCAAGCGCTCTGTATCAGAATAGGAAACATAAACACCAACATAGAACTAGACAAGAGGATATTGAACTTAGAGACATTAATTGGGAAGACATTATATTTGCTGATAGCCCACTATTGCTGGAATCAGATGCATATGCCGTAGAGTGTATGCTTACTAGTTAAACCTTGTATTGTTATCAAAACAGGTCATTTGCATTTTGTTTACATCTAATTTAAGTAGATGTTTGAGGAAAAAAAGGACTTTAGAGCTTAAAAAGGTTACAGAGACAAACAGACAAAGAACAAACTGTGACAGGTTCGGCTCAGATCTTCACCTTTCCCCCACTCCCGGTTTTAAAATACTACAGCAGAGCTTAACTTCACTTAAACTTTAACTAATTCAATAGATTGTATATGAAATCCCCTCCTGTGCTGTATATTTAGTGTTTTAGACGCTGTAGTGATGTGACATATCCAGATGGGCTTCCATGGTTTGGCAGCTCTTACAGTTAGTCCACACCTAACGAAACATCAGCTGTTTCCTTTCTGATTCCTCTTTGGCTAGTTGCCCTCCTCTTCCTCTTCGTCTTCTGTCCATTAGAGGGCCTGTATGCCCACTGACCTCTCTGCGACCAGGCGCTCGCTCAGCTCCCACAGGCTCGTAGCACTGCTCGGATCCTGGGCCTGGGCGGATGTCTGGCAGCGAAAGCAGTTGTTGAAGTACATGCCGCCCAGCCCTTCCAGCTCCGGTGCTACCGCACAGTACACTGTGGTGGCCGCCCCTTGTTGCTGTGGACAGACAAAAAAAAAAAAAAAAAAAAAAAAAAGAAGAAGAATCAGTGGACGAATCACGACGCTGAGACAGCAAGGCGGCGTCGGCCTGCAGGAGCAGACAAAATATGGAGAACTCGTCTAACGACACGCAGACTTTAGGATGTGTGCTGTATGGAGGAAAAGACAGAGGACATAAAGCAGACTCTGACCACATTCCTTTGTCCTCTGTGAGACCCACACACACATAGACAGACACACGGATACACACACAGACAAAAAGAGACAGCAGGACTGTGTCTACAGGGGGGGAAAAAAGACTCGTGCACACGCTGTCTCTCCCCTCTCCCTGCATCCCGATGACTGGGTCATATAACTCCTTACTGTATATATATTTATATACATATATTTATTTATTTATTTCTCAGCCAGGTGTGTATAGGACATCTCGCTATGTGGGACCGTGTGAATGCTACAGATGTATAGACTCACAGAGGATAAGGTGGGAACAAAAATATTACACCAGCTCCTGTCTGGATGGGAGTCACCAGGGAAACTACAGCTCTGATGTGCGATGTGTGAACAGCAGGTTTCAATGCCATGATTATCAATATGTATATTTTTCACGTGATGTTTATTAATATTCAAGTGCTGGAAAATACAAGTACAACTAAGTATTTAAATCAAAAGTTTTTTGGTTGTTGCGTACAACACACAAACACGTCGCACGGTTTTCCCTCCAGTTCTTTCTCAGTAATTCTCTCAAGGCAAGTTTAAACCTGAAGATCACTCAGCCCGGAAAACTCACTCTGTTACACGTCGTCTCAAGCCGAGACGCGCTGTAAAAGTGAAACAGTATTTTTACGCAACCTGCTAAGTTCTCTAATACACCCCATCCCATCAGTCAGTAATTAGCAGGGATATTCACGGAGAGAGATTTCTGTGACATTTGAAAATGAAAGCTGAAACTGCGGCAGAATAAACACGTCAGAGAGAATTACACACATAACCCGACCGCTCAAAGAGGGATCTTTCATGCTGCAGCTCCGGCTAAAAGCTGCTGTGACAGCTTCCCTGCAAACTCCAGGGCTGGAGACGACTTCTATGCGGCCACATGAAATGGCTCGCCTCTTTATCTCCTGATGTGAGGGAGCGAGAGTGAGACGGGGGTGGGGGCAGAAAGAATGAGAGGGAACACTGATGTGATGACTGAAGGCTAGTGTTTAGCACAGAGCACTGGCACACACTGAGACAACCACGTATATGCAGTAGTCAAACGCGGGCAACACACACAAACGTACACACATGCGTAATGGAGGCACATTACAGGCCAACTGTTTGAACAGATTCCCAAAGCACAGGCCAGCACACTAAAAGTGGCAAGATCCTATGTCATCTAAAGCTTTCACAGCCTAGTACAAAAATATGCACCAAAATGCAAACGCTACAAACACAAAAACACACACGCATAAAGCAGATTCCAGGAAATGTTTCTCTCATCGACACACGCAAACCAAAACGGGCACCCACACACAACTCCCTCTAAGCTCTGAGTAAAGTTCCACCAGGAGGAGCCCTGGTGTGTAACGTCGCAGAAGCAGATTGAGCGTGTTTGAAGTGCTCCGTGATGAGAGAGCTCGTAAACAGCAGATGAAAAAGGCAGCATCTCTCTGTGTGCCGCTGTCTGTCTCACCTGCCAGTGAGGCGATAACTTCATCCACATCACATGTCGCCATATCAAAGACCGACAAATGCCAAGCAGTGTCTCTGAGTTGCAGGTTCACACGCACTCAGTTCAACTCATCTCTCTCACTTAGGGCATCTGATTTAGCTCGCCTGAAAGCCAAATGCCTTTTAAACTTCACTGAAGATTTCAGCGCCGCCGGCTCTGACTCCCTGACACCACCTTGAACTTGGCTGACTTTCAGACAAGTTTGTTTGCGTCCAATTACCAGACAGTTGGGTTTAAATATTGATATAAAAAAAACAACTTTCATGTTCAGAATCCAGATTTATGTGGCTGAAATCTGAAAGGTATTTCTATTCTTTAGAAAAAGCTTCTCTGCTGGCTGCCACGCATGCAGTTAGTGACAAACGGAGCAGTACACGGGCTGTTTGTGCGGTGTGCCCAGCAATGTGCTATCTTACTGGTGTTTAGCTCATCCCCCTCGCCACTTGACCTTGTGACCTCTGTAAAAGATAAGGCTGATGAGATTAGGCATTAACATGCTCAACCACCCACCACAGCCATTTATCACTGTGTGTGTGTGCGCGTGTGTGTGTTTGCAGATACCAGGCAAGTAGGTGGCGGGCAAGGATTTCGCTACACTTACAGTTACACGCTGCCTGAACACAAGAGCGTATCTGCGCACAAGCACGAACAGATACACATATGAACAACCCGCACGGAAGGTAATGCCACTAAACCAGTGTGCATCGAACACATCTGTGCCGTCCAAAGATGATTTCTAATCCAAGTTAAACTGTAGATTAAGTCTGTAAATTAAGCTGTCTACAAAATGATGGGTGTGTGTCTTTCTATACTGTGCACCTTAATGTGAAGCATTACCTTGACTACAGTAGTTTTATTATCAGAGACATCTATGGTACCCAGAGCTACGACGTCTGCCCAGAGAAGCTGACTTGACACTGACTTAAGCTCCAAAAAATAAGACTTGTCCTTGGATACTCTTTCGGAATTGGCCTCTTCAGGCATTTTAGTCCAAAAAATAAAAAGTGAGACAAGTATAGGAATGCAGTTACAAATCTAACTTTAAATGCTTTGAGAGGGAAACTCTTTAAATCCTTTAGACGACCATCTTGCAATTCCACTTTAGACTTAAGCATGACTTCTTTGGATGACTTCAGACTTCACTTTCACATTCCCCAAAACAAAACTAGCTCTGTTACCACCACACTGATTCTAGGAGGGAGGGAGGGAGAGAGGAAGGGGACAGACAAGGAGGATCCAAACCAACCAAAACATCTCCAAACCGAAAAATTTTCTCTATGCTAAAAATAAAATGCAAAGATCTCAGCAATATGATAAACCAATGCCAAGTGCAGAAGCAGGTTTTATAGATTACGTGTGTGTAGATCTTCCTTTGTGGGTAATAAAAATAAACATAAACACTGAGGAAAGACTTACAAAACACCCTGCAATAAGCTGACTGCTGATAAGTGGCAATAAGCCTGTACTTAGCCTGGGATTCAACACTACGGTTCTGGAACTGCTCTGGGACCAGATCCAAGTCTTCCAATCTCAGCATTGACTCAATACCCAAGGACCTCATGGACTTGCAATAGAAATGTCCTTGTATAGTGTTACGCAATAACCCGTTGTTGAGAACATCTTACTGAGCGTATCAAAAGCAAAAAGGGTACGTGGGGGAGATGTGATGTTGAATTAACAGTATTGTTACTTTGCCGTGTTCTGTTTTGTGTCTTCATCGTCCGAGTTGTATAAGCTTTCTCTGACCCTGTGCATGTGACCCTTTGACCCCCACATCTGTAGTTACGTCATTGACCTCTCCCTCTGACCTGGATGTAAATAAGCCAGTACTGTAGAGCAGTCTGTTTTTGGCCCATCCCTGTACATACAAACCTGTAAATACTAATGGCTATGCATGCTGAACACCTAGCAATTCTTTCAGGTACTTTTATAATCCCCAAATTCTCATATGGCATGTGCTATAAAAAAGAATATAAAAAAGTAGAAAAAGTAAAAGATTCAAATAAAAAAAAAGTTTAAAATAAATGCGTTGGTAATATTGTCAGGCAATATCCTCTCTTGGACAGTGTGTGTAGAGTCTTCCTGTTTTCTTACTCCTGTGGGTGGTTCTCTCCCTTTGCCTGTCCTGTGTTTCTGCTCACCA